AGATAAATGAATGGGTATCCGTCTAGCTGCTTGCTTAATAGGACGTGTAGTGTGCTCGGTAGATATTTTATGTTTCACTACATTGGTACGCCCTAAATCATAATTTGAGGTAGCAAACAAATCTTGGTGCGCACATAAAAATCTCTCTGCTTTAGATAACTGCACAGAGGACAAATTTACTTTGCACCTGTTCAGCAATTCTTTCAAATCACTGCGTAGTTCTAAAGTATTCTTATTCTTTTCCTTAGCAGAAGCCTTCTGCGCTTCAACTGCAGTCATTTTTGCAATGAAAGTGCCGTTACGAATTTGTTGAACATCGTCTGTGACATTCAGGAGGCAAACAGGTACAGTATTATTTCCCTTAACCAAAGTTCGACCTACTAGAGCACGCCCACTCTCTAGAAATTTTCGCTCCGCTTCTACCAAGTAATCTGCACTGCCGAATTTGTTATCTCCTTGGACTTTCGCTTGAATAACTATTTCACTTCTTGGTGGAATGCATACATCTGAGCTTGCAGTAACTCTATAGCAACCTAACGTGCCTTCCCATGAAAATCGACATTCTTCATTATTCAATTTCAATGTGCTTGTCTGAAGATCAATTGCGCCATTACAAGCTTTTAAGAAATCAAGTCCAAGAATTCCATCGACAGTGATATCTGCTACTATCACTTCAGCATTATTCTTTGATTTCCCTTCTTGTATAACGAATTGACCTTTCCCAAACTGACTAAGTCGTGATCCACCAGCATTCGTTATTATTTGTCCATTATCTACTAATCTAGGCTTGTCTGTCAACTGATCATATATTTTCCTAGACAGTAAAGTTAAGGATGCGCCAGTATCAATCAAAAATTTACTTTTCACACCATTTACTTCAACATCTATGAAAATGCCTGCCTCTTCACATAAGTTGCTTGCCCCGACATTTCCATTTGTACGTTTAGATCTCTTCCGCCTTTGCCGCGTTCGAATTCGACGCGCATTTCCCTTTGCGGAATGATCACTGCGCTCATCAGTATTATTGCTTTTCTTCTTCAATTTAGGACAATTTCTACGATTGTGTCCTTCCTCTGAGCAATAATAGCATTTGATCTTTTCGCCCTTTCGTCTATTGCCAAATTTACGTTCCCCTGGAACATTTTGACTTATTCCACTGGATTTGTTCTCATCAATGCGCTTTTCTAATGAATCTAATTTCGTCTGAAGTGTCTGCATCAACTTATATAAATCTCTAGGATGCGATCCGTCTTCATTTGTAGACTTTGTAAAACTCATAGCGTGACTGTGACCTCTCTTTTCAGTTTTGTAATAGGCATCCAACTCGACTGCCAAACGAATAGCTTCGTTTAAATTTTGAGGCCTGCTTTGTTTGATGCGCAAACGTATTTCAGAATCAGCTAATGCATCGATGAACGCCTCTTTTCCTAGTGTTTCTCGCACTTCCATTGATACTGAAGAATAGGCCAAACTTGTGAGTCTTCTGATACTCTGTCCTAACTCTGACAAGGTCTCTGATGCTCTCTGACGTCTCTCCTTTAATTGAGCGCGATACAGCTGCGTTTGGTTTGGTGGTGCAAATCTCTCCTCCAGTGCTTTAACCAACAACTCGTACTGCTGACCAGTCTCGGCAGAGACATTCCAAAGCACTCCTTGAGCAGCACCTCGTAATGAGACGGCTAAATAGAGTCCTTTTTCTCTGTTGGACCAATTATTAATTGCTGCGCAAGCATTAAAATGGGACTTGTAATCAATCCATGAATGACTTCCGTCAAACGTCGCAGGCTTTATGTTACACTTTGATGCCTTTTCCTCTCTCTTATTTTCCTGTTGTATCAAGGAAGGGTTGTATCTGGATGGAACACTTTCTATCCTTTGCGCCCGACTCGCATGAGGCAATTCCTCATTTCTAATTTGCACAGGATGTCTCATATCATTTTGCTCTTCCGATGGTACTTGTAATTGCACACCCTGTGGAAACTCAAAAGGAGAGTGCGCAAGAGTGTTATTCAGCAAATGAACTGGATGCGGATGTGCTTTTGATATCAGGCGCGGCGTTTCACTGCTAGGCCGTGGCGCAATCGCTTCATACTGTTGCGCACTCGCAGTACAATCTGTCGTCAAAGGGGATGTATTCGTCCCAGGAACAGAATTTCTTCGCGCCGTTTTTCTTCTCATCGTAACACCATCTGCATCTGCTCCAAGATGGAACCCTTCTTGTGCGCTTCCACCGGCCATTGTCGCAATGCCTGTATCGCGCATGGGTCTACCTGTAGCAACTGGTGTAGACTGCTTCTCTAACTCAAGGCGCAGTCTCTCACAGCTCCTTTCGAGAAATGATATCTCCTCATTGATCATTTCCTCCATTGCGCTCATAATTTACAAGGCAAATATAACACAGTTCAAAAAAATTATCAATTTAAAATTTATATTACTTTAATTATTTGCCGAATCCCACCGCGCTGCCACCAAATTTATGTAACGTTTCTCGGGTTCTTTAATGGGATTCGGCTGTTCTATCTGAACAATTTAAAAATAATCAAATTTCCCAATCACAAATTTAAATTAATAATATATACACTAACGCCTTCGTTTCTCGGGAGCGCGTGCGCCTTCCAAAGACTGAAGCGCGTCCGCTTCTTATCTTCAGTCAAAGTTTATCAAGGTACAATATAAAAATAAACCAAAGCCTCGAAAGTCTATTTCAGACACGTAAGACTTTATTTAACCAAGGTTTCCCTTGAAGTACCTACACCTTTGACTTCTGTTCTGGCGATCTTCTCTCATCAGCCGTCAACAACAGACTCTCTCATCAACCCAATTGTCTCCTTATTTATATACACTCCAGGTCACATGACCTGCGGAGAACCGAAGGGGACAAATAGACAGGAAGACAGCACAATCCAACTACCGAGAAACGAAAGGATTATTTGATCTCGATTACAGTTTCGCTTCAATTTCTTGGAGTATTTTAATAATATAACAAATTAAATGTAGGGATATCACAAATTCAGCTTGGAATAAAACTATTTTACCTGTCCCTTGCAATTCATTTTAAAATATTTAAAATATTTTACTGAATTTTAAAATGATTTCAAGTTTGGAATAGTAGCAGTTGCCATGAGACCTGAGGAAATATTCTCGTACACACAAATAAAAGTTGGTTTACACGATCATAACTGAGGAAAATCAGACTGGTGTGGAATCGAAAGCATATCATACTTTCATCATAAGGCATTAGTAAGGCAGATATGAAGCAAATAAAACTTACAACTACACGTATACCTGTAAGGATATCTGCATTATTACCATCACTGAGAGAAGTCATCTGGGTATTTAACAGAAAGCGATAAGTGAGCCAGAGGTGACAGGGAATCCTTTTAACTATATACATACTAAGAAATCCGCACATATTCCTCACTGAGAATGATCAGTCGGGTCTAACGGAAAGCATATTACGCTATTAACATGGCGCAATCCACACCAATACCGTAACTGAGAAAAGTCAGCCGGGCATCTAACGAAAAGCATCATACAATTTACATAAGCAATCCACACCAATACCAATACCGTCACTGAAAGAAATCAGCCAGGTATTTAACAGAATTCATATTATGCTATTCAGGCCCTCATTAAACAATTCAAAGATACTCCATCAAATTTTATAAAAAAAATTTATGTTGTGAGTTGATGTTTCAATATATAGATATTCAGTTGATCTCATCAACAGTGTTTTTTTTTATCTATTACGCCCATAAAAGTCATTACTATGCATCCTCACCAATCTTTAACAATGACACTTCCTCAGATAGTAAATACGTCATTCCTTGTCAGCCATCAAAATCACACTGTCAACCCTGAAATTGGAAAAGAAAGTTGATTCATGAGTTGAGGATCAATTCCGATCAGATTTAAAATGTATTTATAAATGTTTAAATTTCAAAGTGAACAAGAAAAAGTGAAAAAGTGAAAAAGAATCAGCTTAGGAGAGGATGAGAATCTTGCAATTTTTATTAGACCACACTTGAAAACATCTGCATATATACCATTAAACTGAAAAAGGCCAGCCGAGAACCTTGAACACTAGTTTCTACGACATTTCTTTGTATTCTAGTTCTTTGAGACTGTTTTGCCAGCTTCCGTCCCTTTCCTGTACTTTGGACATACTGAACTGATTCAAACTACAAGTAAAAGTGCAAGTAAAAGAACACATTTATACATATCTATACATAAATGCACTACTGTACTTAGGTTTTCCTTTCTTGTTGACGATAAAGTTAAACATGTTCCCTATACATTTAGGAAAAAATAAAAATTCATCATTTGAAGCAGACCCTGAAGGGACACCTGTTAAGCGATGCCACACCACTGAAGATCATGCTTCTCCAAGATATTTCCGAAGGGCTCCACCCTAACACCTACAGTGCCATGAACCACGATTTCATCTATTAAAAACTTAATCACCATTACATTTGCAACGAATGTACATTCATTATTCTACCAGATTAGTAGTAAAGTTCCCTAGCAACCGATCACTCTTATTGGCCATCCTGTGAAGCAAAAAGCTTACATCGATGTTCTCATCACCTGGGCCCGGTTGTTCAAAAGATGGTTAAATTTAACACAGTGGTTAAGGATAACGATGTGTTAAACCTTAATCATATGATTAGCTAACACAGTGGTTAAATTCTGTTGTTCAAAAGCAATTTAACGCATTGGTTAGCTAACACTGTGTTAACTGCTTAATCACTTGGTAATCACTTGGTTACCCATAATGCACTTCTACTTCCTTTGTACACAATCATGGCTGACGTCGTCTGCTTGAAAAAGAATAGAAAAGCTAGAAGCACTAATTTCTCCTTAACTGAGGTAGAAATTATCAAAAATGAAGTAAGACTTCATCCTATTCTAGAGGCAAAACATAGTAACATGGTTACCAATGCTAAGAAGCAAGCCATCTGGCTTGAAATTGTCAGGAAAGTAAATGCTGTAGGGGTGGCAAAAAGGAGTTTGAGCGAAGTAAAAGACAAATGGCGTAACATGTGTCGGGAGGCCAAAATGAAATTTACGGAGAACAAGAGACAGATGTCAAAGACAGGAGGAGGGCCTCCACCCACCCCTCTTTCCCAGACAATACAGGATGTTGTCGACATGTATAAGGATGCCAGTTCCTTTCATGGGATTGAGGGGGGGCATTGAAACCTCAATGCCTGGCTGTTCTGGTAAAATATGACTTTTTTGTCTTCATCAACAATAATCTTTTCTAATATGATCATTATCTCCATATTTCATATGTATAAATAAAAAAAATAATGGGAAAATGATTAAAACTGTGATAGAAGCTAGGCCAAAACACACAATGAAATAATGTCAAACTGTACTTTCATTGAATTTACTTTGTTTAAATAACTATATAATTATTTAACTATTACTTTATCACTTCAAAATAATATACTACTTCATTTAAAATATTGTACTCTAATCGGAACAAAACTGTACAATATCCCATGATATTAGGCCTAAGCCGTCAACTTGACTTTGATGATTTTCGTCTGCTTCAAAACATGAAACCATAATCAGTTGCTGTAAAATTCTATATTTAAGACCTTCAAAAGGTTGGGTTATCTTTTCTATCGCTATAAGGCCTATCCTTTATTTAATAAACCCAATTATCGCTGTTAACCATGATTGAATAGTTAACTAATATTGTCCTTTTTTTGTCATCTCTCACGAGAGATGACACATTAAGTTTGATTTCCGGATGTGAAGTCCCAGTATAAGCTGCCATTGATCACTCGGCAATCCTCGGCTGACTCCACTACGCTACACACAAAAAGTGCGAGACCACCCGAGGATCACCGACTGGTCAGTTTGATGCGATGATGCGATTTTCTAAATATAGAGATGTAAACAACGAGCGGTCTGCCTTATTATTGATAAAGAAAACAAGCTGCGAAGAAATCATAGAGGGTCCGACACACACAATCGCCTGGATGATGGGGGTTCTTCAAAATATACACTGTATGTTCTTATGTATAGTCTTCTTGGCTATTATACTAAATGATGGCCAGAACTCGATTCTAACTAGGTCAGCGCATGTGTCAAGACCCCTGCAGTCGAGGCGTGGATCCAAGATTTCACAGAAAAACATCAAATTTAAAACATTCACATAAGTATTCGCATTACTAACTAATAGGAATTGATGGTGAAAACTTGTTTGGTAGATTAGTCATTCTATAACGCGGTGTCGTTTTTGTTTTTTAAAAATAATACAAGTCTGATTAATCAAATGTATAATTTCAGAAATTAAAAACACAAGTTATAAGCGGATATCTATTATATAAAAAAAACTACAGACATTGAATGAAAGATCACAAAGAATGATTATGAGTTTTTTCTTGCATGTCTAATTTATTCTTTTTAAGGAGGCTTATAATTAATGAACTTGCAATCATTTTCTTTATGCAGTTTTAATTGCATTAATGGCAAAAAAGTCATCAATTCATCCCTCCTATATTATTGAAAGGAAGCCAAACTTAATTATACTACAGAATTGTTAATATGTTTAGTATGCAGATAAAGTTTACTAAATCACAAGATATATACGCACTGCACGTGAATTTGAATGGTCACTAATGGCACAATACTATATATTCCTAAAATAGCCATAAGTTCGGGGTTCGCAAATCAGGACTTTTTTCATATAATTTGTAAATGCCTGATTCAGCTGATAGCATTTAAATGTTATTACTTACTTATGCTAAAAGCATGTGGGCGTTGGGTAGGGGCCCAAAGCCACACAAAAAATGATTTAATTTTAAAATCTCGTGTATATTTTGGACGAAAAAAACCCAGTGAGCCTGGGCACCCCCGAAATCCGCCAGTGCTGTTAATAGTTGATTTTGAATATTTAATTTTTTGATGTTTACGGGAAATCTTTTGGAAGGGTTGGAATTATTTAAGTTAGCGCTGTTGTCTGCTGTCGGAGTATAATAATAATAATACGTAATATCGCGATTACTTCGCACTTATCTAATTTACTACCGCTCTTTTGCGGGGGAGTCGAGAAAGATCAAATCTCACGAGATTACAGGGGCACATGGCTTTGTTGACAGTAGTGACAATCGAATGATTTGAAAAACTTTATGCCGAAAGTACAATGTATTGCCAAGAATTTAATTCCAAATAGTAGATTGTCAAATAAGGAATGTTTAGATTATTTTATCAGCTTTAAAATGCGACGATTTTCAATGAAAATTTAATTAGAAGAGCCAGCTTGGTTAAAAATATCTTTAAAAATGTAACATTTTAGGATCAGATCCTCTAAAAAATTAATTAGACTGGTTCGGCGATTGTTATGCAAGGTATTCCACCAGGAGTTTTTGCTTATCTGTCCTTATAAATTCTACAACGATCGATCTTGCATTGTATTCAATAGCACAGTTGTCCCCAGCCAACAGACGTTTACTACCTCCATCGCGAAAGAGTTCCGCTAAGTTAAGTAATCGCGATATCAAGTATTAAGAAGCTGTGAAATACATGTATGTAAGGTCAAAATGAAGGCTAAGATTTTACCCAACTAATTCTTGTGATTTTTTTTTTACTTACAAATTTTACAAATACTGCTTAGTGGGACATTAACATTTTTTTTACATTAAAATAATATTACTCTTATGATTATTCAAGGGAAATGGAAATGCGAAGTAAAATTCAAACAATTATAGCATGGCTTACGGGGCAAAATTGGACCAAAAAACTCTTCAACTTGATAAATTTATAAAGGGATAATGGACACTTTTGTCATTAAGAGTTATCTCTTTTATGGATTAAGTTTACTTTGTGAAAGTGCTAGGAAAAATGAAACGTGTCCCAAACTTTGTAGATTTGATAATTTCCAGATAAAGGAGATTTTTAAACATTATTTTAGTATATTTCATGCAATGTAAAATGCTAAAATAGCAACAGATGAATCATGATATTATTTAGACAATTTTAGAAAATCAGATCTACAAATCTGTGTACCAGCCCTTTTAACTTTGTACTGCTGTAATTGTTCAATGCCAACGCCTCCCTTATCCATACTTTTTGTTCAAGTATAGTCATGTACTAACAAAATGAATTTATTTTTCGAAAAAATTTTAAAAGGTTAAAATATTTCCTTCTCATCCACAACATAGGATTTTGGAGTTTGATCACTACCCTTTTTCCTATTCTAAAATGTTCAGGTAAGCTGCCACTCCCCTTCCTTAGAAGAATAGAAAAAGCTGTAATAGCTGAGAAAAAAGTTACACTCCACTGTTTATTCTGTGACTTTAATGAAGCCAAAGAGATGACATTTCAGGCTTTCTGGAAAGCCAAACTTGTCCGTATTTTCTTTTGATTTTGTTTACCATAACATGACCTTGACCTTTTTGATGGGGCTAACACAAATCGAAAATATCAATCTTAATACTTGCCATGCATGTAGAATTGTGATCGAACATAAAATGTTTTAGTTTAGAAATTACATTATAATGCTCTCAGATTGCCGTTTGTAATTTTCCAAGTGTGCCCTTCGAGTCAAAATGAAAAATAAGAGGCGAACTCACCATCAACATGTGCTCTCTTCTAGCCTAGTGCATCTGGGTGTTTAAAATTTGATTAGCTTCGCACAAAGTATGTTTCTTACATCTTGATTGATTATTTTCATTTTGAATTTGAGAGAAAAGTAGATTTCATATTAGTTGCAGTAATTAATCTTCAATTAAAATCGGAGGAATGAGGATACGGATGTCGAATCCGAAAATAATACACGTGGATTGATCTATTTATATGTCTCTGGTGTGGATCCAAGTTAAAACATAAATCTGTAAAGCCTCAAAAAGTTCAGTTGTAATCCGACTGCAACCCCAATGCTTTTCTAAACATTCTGAAGTTATAGATAGGGTATAAATGAATTTTAAGATAAATAACTGTAATACCCATCTTATCATCTTGACAAAATTTCAGAGTAAGGGGCCGGGGTGGGGGGGGGGGTGCCAATGTTGAAATTTAAAAAAAAAAAGGGGTTTTGAAATTTTTCTAATATTTAAAATTTTGTTTTATATAAATACATGTGGATTTGATTTGATAAAAAAAAAAAACTTTAGAAGAAGAAAAAACAAGAGAAATCACTAAATAACTATATCTACAAGATGAAAAGAATAATAAATTTAAAAATATGACTTTGTATAGAATAAAGAAAATTAATTATTATTTTTATGTGTTCAATCATACAAATTTAAATATATATATATAAGAAAAGTGCTATATAAATATGAAAAGTAAATATTTGATTAAAGATGTTATCTGATGAATTGATGCTAGCTGTAAGTACATAAGAATTAACTGCTTCATAAGGCTGCATACTACCATATGGCAGGGCATGTGTACGCATAAGTAAGAAAGACTAATAATATTGATTTTTTCTATACATAGCAATATCCTCAATGGCAGTGTCTCCCACTCAGACTGTAACAAACAGGATAACTAAGGATAATGATGTGGACATTTGGCAAGATGCCTGTGAGGACCTTCCTGTGCCATCCCCATCTCCAGCAAGCTGTGCATTCATTGCCTTAGAGACATGTGCACCGTTAGAGGAACCCCTTTCCCCACCTAGCCCACCAAGACAACTATGTGCCTCATGTAAATATTTTGGCAATATAATTATATACTTTCATGTTCTCAACTATACTAGCTTAAAGAAAACACAAATTAGAAATAAATGAATTGAGGTAATTAAAACAAATGTAAGAGTCAGAGACTTTAGTTCATTGACCAAGGATGGTACACATTTGTCCATTTTCCTTTTAATTAGATGGAATATTCATATTTTTCTCTTTGACATCATAGCAATTTAAGCTGCACCAATCCAGTTTTGAAGATAAACATTAAATGCAAGATCCATAAAATAAAACACACAAGATATTTATTATAATATATATAAGTTTTTGTATATTTTATGCAGCATTTCCAGTCAGTACATGTAGTAGAGATCCAAACCAAGGAAAAGAGAGGTAAGGTTGCTCTCAGTCTTTGTTGATCTCTTGCCTTTAACTTTAGAGTGGGTGGTGTAAATATTTTTGACCTCTTGACCTTGACCATTGAGAATTTTGAAGTATTTGAACTGGCTGGCCATAACTTTTGAAAAGACGTGGTACTTCGGTTTTCATGTTTCTCCAAGTGTATTCCTTATGACAATACCTTAAATTCTTTTGGATACCAATAATTTTGTTCATTTTCTTTGACCTTGGAGTTTCACTTGCATTCGAGAAATTCAATTTTGTCATATGCTGCAACACAGGATCATCAGTGTTTCACAAACACATTTTGTTTCATTCTAATTAAAACCCAATATGTATATTCTATAAATTGTAACATAGTACATGTGTACTCTAAAGATATCACTATAAAAAAAGCAGACCTTTTTTTTTTATATTTACATGGTTTTATTCCATAGATGTACATTTACATGATTGTCTGTACAAAGTATAAAAAAAAGTCATAGAAATTAAATAAATAGACTAAATCTATTTATGACAATGACATACAATGTCAGAATACATTTGATTTCCTTATAAAACACATATTCTCTAATTAATATAAAGAATTTGATTTTCAAAACAATTATTTGAAATTCAAAATTATTTTAGAGAGAAGCGCAAGAGTGTGAAAAGGTCGGTGGAAGACGTTTACCGGTTGCAGTGTGAGGTGCTTGAGGAGGAGAAAGAGAAGATCAAGAAGGAGAAAGAAAAACTGGATTTACAGATTCAGCTGTTACATGCTATTCTTAAAAGACAGGATGATGAACAGACAGAGCTCTTGGCTTCATTGATGTAGACAAAATGGTCAATGCTTTAATTCTATAATTGTCAAACTTTCCACAATACATTACTAATATAGTCCCCTAGTCTATGTTTAGTATGTTATAACTGAAATTTACATAAAAATATGTTACATTTGAAGTTCTCTTGAGAGAAATTGTATAATTCAACATATATATATATATGAAAAAATCAACAAAATTTGATAGAAATTGTTATCAGCTTAAAATGTGTCAAAATATGAAAAATTGAACCAGTACGTAGTTTCAGATATTTTAGTGATCAAAAACATTAATACATGTAACAACAAATTAGAGATTCAAAAGTCAGCTAGATTATGATTCCACAATATTTGGTCTTCGACCTCTTTATATTACTGTGACCTTTATTGCATATAAAGGGTTGAGACTCATTAATAATCAGATCTAATGTTTAAGGTGATAGCAAATTATGTCATAAACATACACAGTATTAAAAATGTAGGCTCCTGTCAGTGACCAATACATGTTACAGTTAACAATGTCTCTAATATTTACAGCTTACCAGTCCCTTTATCATAGGTTTTTGACAATTAATAAAGTACGTGGGTTTTTTTTTCACAGCCTCATGTACTGTATTAGAAATGAGTTTTCTCTGTTGTTTTTTATTACATGAATTAATATATACATGTATGTACATGGTTGAGCATTATTTTAAAAATCAAAAAATCTTTTCTGTGTGCCATCAAAAATAGGTACAATATGATTTTCTGAATTTTCTTGTTTGTAAATTAACTGTTACTTACAGTTTAATACCAGTAACTGTTATGATTGTTATGGAGTGTGCCAAAATCTGTTTCTGAATCAGTGTATGAATGTTTGTAAATTTTGATTATTTTAGAACACATTAACTATAATGTGATATTTTGATTTGAAAGTCACTTGTTACCAGTGTTTGTTGTTAATTCAGCATAAAATTATATTTAACATATCTATTTTATCTTTGTTGACATATATATACTATATTGTTAAACTGATAGAATTTAACTGCTTATAAATTAAAATGTTTCATATAGAGTTTCCTATCATTCTCATTTAAGGTACATGTAACCCAGGCATAATAGCCATTAATTCATATGTGTACCCTAATAGGATGACCTTGAAGAGTTATCTCCTGTTGATTTTAATCAATTAATGAAGTGAAGTAATTAAACAAAAAACAATGGTCAATGAAATCACTCCGAATATGTATAACTATTAGTAAATGAATCAATCTCTAATTTCCATGGACTAATTTAAATTTGGTAATTGTAGCAATATTTTTTTAATTTCAATGGAGAGGAAATCATTCATTTTCTACTTTTCATGCTTCAATATAACACTTTTATCATATTTCATTTCTAAGAGGTATAATTATAAATGATATGATATTAAGTATTATTATTGGTAGAATTAATTATGAGCTAAAGTAATGCTGTGTTACATATTCCCGCACCCCTCTTCCATCTTGCTGTCCTTGAAATGCAGGTACCTGGGGCTGGTCTTCCTCAACTTCATCCTCATCCTCAGGCTCTCCAAGGTTAATGGCGATGTTGTGGAGGACAGCACATGCTATGATGATTCTGCATGCCCTGTCAGGCTTCATTCGTATCTACAATCACAATGCATTGAAAGTGTAAATTTACCTGCATAAATATAAGCATGAAATAAACAAGAGGCCCATGGGCCACATCGCTCACCTGAGAAGCTTTGACCATTTTGTTCTTTACCCGATTTCCCCCTTGTCATACATATTGTGACCCCACCCTACCCAACTGATCATAATTTAGACAATCTGAAATCTACACTAGCTACCACGGGATTCTTTGTTTTCCCATTGTAAAACTTTGATCCCCCATTGTGACCCCCGGGGGCAGGATTAGAACAATTAAGAATCTACACTACCCCAGGATGCTTCCACATGAGTTTCAGCTTTTCTGGCCCATCTTCAGAAGATTTTTAAAGAATTTTCCTATATAATTATATATCCTATATATATTGTAAAAATTTGATTCCATATTGTGGCCCCGCCCTTTCCACGGGGGTCATGATTTTAACAATTTAGAATTTACACTACCCCAGGATGCTTCCATATAAGTTTCAGCTTTTCTGGCCCAGTGGTTCAGAAGAAGATTTTTTTAATGACCCCACTGTATTTTTGTCTTTTCTTGATTATCTCCCCTTGTGAGGGAACTTGGCCCTTTATTTTATCAATTTAAATTTCCCTTCAATTAAGGATGCTATGTACCAAGTTTGATCAAATTTGGCCCAGTGGTTCTTGAGAAGAAGTCGAAAATGTGAAAAGTTAACAGACGGACGGACAGACAGGCGGACGACGGACAAAATGTGATCAGAAAAGCTTACTTGATACTTCGGCTCAGGTGAGCTAAAAAAATTTTATTGTAAATAGCACGACATGTATTAAATTTGGTCAAAAAAAAAAATTTGTTGGTATATATTAACATACCTCTGAGTGGAGAACATGAAACCTCCGTTTGAGCCGCCCAAAGGTGCGCTCAATTTCACTTCTTGTTCTTGCATGGGCTTGATTGTACTTCTCCTCAGGTTCAGTCTGGGGATTGGCATAAGGAGTTAAAAGAAATGGTCGGCAAGCATATCCACTATCTCCTAGCAAAACTCCATTTTCAAATAGGCCATTTTCTTCCTCCTCCAAATATGTTCTAATCTGACAAATACAATCCCAAGTCAACTTACAAATCCTTATTCATAATAGACTCTCAATACATTTGCTGTGAATAATAGATTTAAAGAAATAAATTGAGATAAAATTTATTTTAATTTCATGAAATGGGTATAAAATGCCCTAACATGAGAGAATGAAAGTTAGAAGATGAGAGAGAAGGATTGAAATATGTGTTGCATGCGATCAACACTCTTTAAAAATTATTTAAATATTATCATATTGTAGCTTAATTACCTGTGATGTTCTGAAGATGTGGGAATCATGTACAGACCCGGGCCATGATGCATTGATATTTGTAACTTTTCCTGTAATAGATGTAGTTAAGTAGCAGTTATAGTTAATCAAGAACTAGTAATTGATTAATACTTAAATTGTACCATTATTGAACTGATTTAAAACACATGCACTTTCTATGAGGGGGTGGGGGGGGGGGGGGCAAGTGGCGCATTATTTAATATCAATATAACTGTGGAGGACATTACTTGCAATGTCATAGATTCAATGTTGTATATTCAATAACCAATTGCAAATACATATGGAAAATTCATAATGTACGAGTATATCATTCTAGATCAGATTCATAAAAAAAAAAAAAATAAATATTGGACAATTTTTTTTAAAATTATTTTTCATATTCACACCTATATCTTCAGATCAATCTCTTTTTCAATTTTTATTTATCACATGAATTAATTTTTCTTGCACTACTCTTGTGTGGCAATGCACTGATGTTTTATAACAGGTACTTGCTGAAAAATGAATACTCAGTAGATGGATCCGCCACATTATTTTTCAAAGGGGAGGTTAATCTACATGACATGCATAGATCATTTTAAAAAATCGTTTAAACAATGAATACACAACTATAGTACGATAATTATGGAAGAGGTAGTGTTAAAGGATGTGTGAAAAACCTATGAATTCAATACACAGGAATTACGAAGTTTTAGTACATGTTTAAAAACCCCATCGAACGTGAATGATACAAGGGGCCTTAAAAAGTCGGTTATATTTACCTTCGTGGTCACATACAGCTTGGACATTGATGCTGTGGTATCCTTTCCTATTTACGAAGGAATTTTCGTCATGTGATGGGGCCTGGATCCGTACATGCGTCCCATCGATGCATCCGACTACATTGGGGAAACCTGCTAGCCGGTAAAACCCTGTTTTGATGCAAGATTTTGTTGTTGCGTCAGGCCATTGAATAAATGTGTCAGCTTTCGCAACCAGTGCTTCGGTGACTCTCTTAATGGTGCGGGATACTGTGCTTTTGTCAAACCCTGTTCAAATTTGAGTAACTTGTATATTTTTTCTATGTGGAAAGACTATTTAATCAGCGTTTTATGTTTAATCATGCAGCATATAACCACGAAATTTTCAAAGCACTGTGTCGTTTTTATTTTACTTGAACTTTAATAATAAAATTTCAACTTGAGTTTATTTTTTAACAATGATGTAGTATGTGTTCTGTAGTCTTTTAATTGTACCTAGAGTGTCCCCGACAACCTGCAAAAAGCTGCCACTTGCAAGGTAACGCAAGGTAATCATGACTTGGTGCTGGACGCTCAGCGCACAGTTCCTATTGGTGGCTCTTTCCAAGTCATTTTTGATGACATCACCGATAAAATTGATGCCATGGTGACCAAAGCGGTACCTTCTTCTTAATTCAGTATCTGTCCAACCCTCTAAATTCGTGTGGAGTCGGAAAACACGCTGTTTTCTGGGTCCAGGCGGGTGAATAAGAAAGTTGGCGGCCATATTTAATCACGGTGTTAACTTCTTAATCTACCTACCGTAGGTGGATTAAATTTAACACGGATTTAACACCTTGTTAACACAAACACAATTTTGAACAACAGTTAACCTTGTAGTTAAATTTAACACATTATTCAACACAGAGAAAACACTGTGTTAAATTTAACCATCTTTTGAACAACCGGGCCCTGATGGATAACCATATCGAGCTTCTTCTAAGCCATCTTCTTCCATTATACCTTTCCATGTTGTTTCCAGAGATTCTGCTATTTCTGGAACATTCTGCAGCACTGTCATTAATCCAAGTGCTATGGACAGAAGTCATGCTTTCGTACATCTGTAGGCTTATTACAGAAGTCACTGCAATTTTCATGGTTTTTAAACACATGATGAACTGAGTTATCAATGTCATGAGCAAGTTTCTTTACTGCTTTTTTTCTATTACCTAAGACTATCGCATACCTGACCCCTTTTGTCAGTCT